GCCACTTGCTGCAGAGCCAGGGACATCCTGGCATTGCCTTGTGGGTGTCCTCAGCCCTGGACCCAGCAGAGCCACAGGCTGGGGACACACCCAGCCTTGAAGATGTCACACATCTGGGCCAGGTCCTTGCTGAGGTGGGTGCAAGCCTGGGGGGTCCTCACTGGGGGAGTGGGACAGGTTGGATGTGGACACTGGGTGGCAAAGCAAACTACCAGGGCCACCCCAGGAACACCCCTAGAGGTGGTATCCAACACTGGGAAACACACAGGCATCCCAGGGCCATGAGCCAACCCTCTCCAGCACCAAGACTGAGATATTTCTGCTGAGACATCCCAGGAGAAGGTGCCTCAGGATTATCTACCCTCAGTCCGGATGTGGAAGACAGCGGGAGTCTCACCCAGCTGTTTGTGAGAGACTTCCAGCCCCAACTTGCACAAACAAGTTGGGTAACTGGGACCAGCTGCCAAGCCCGTACGTGAGCAACCCCTGCCAGTGCCTCAGCTGGCTCTGCAGGGCCAGGGCTGGACCCAGCCCCAGCCTCTCCCTGCACAGCAGACCCAGAGGACAGCTGTTTCTCCAGGGAAAAGCTATCCGGAGCCTCGGCTGTGCTGAGCAGGGATGGAAATGTCACCCACCAACCCTCCCAGGCCTCCCATAAGCCACTGCTCAAAGGACAAGCTGCCACTTCCCACCCCAACACTGAAGCTTTCTGAGCTGCTCCATGGAGGTGATGCTCAGAGGAGGCTCAGAGGTGGTGCCTGGACTCAAAGCAAGGTCCACGCTGCAGCTGAGCCCAGCCTCTGTGAGCTGGAATGTTTCTGTCTGTCTGTCCCACGACTCAACATGTGCTGATGTTGGCAAAGAGGGGACAGAAGGACAGGAAGCTCGATCCTACGAGCACTTGGTGCGCTTAGGGGAGCAGGTAGGTGGGACAGGGGGACCCTACAGCCCTGGCCAGCACAGCAATGCACCCCCAGCACCATGACCCAGCCCTGGCTATCCCAGACCCAGCTTCCAAATCGGAGCTTGCTCATCTGCCCCGTGCCATGTAAACACGCTCGGAGAAGCAGGAGGAGATGCTGTATCTGGGTTCACCCCGTGAGTCAGCGGCAGAGAAAGGAGGACGCAGAAGCCTGACTCATTCCCTCGCTCAATGGCCACTAAGCAACGCTCCCCCAGGCTGCTTCATCTACAAGGCTTTTCCCAGCTCCTTCCTAGGGAACGAGGAGGCTGGTGCAGTCCAAGGGATGCTCCCACTGGATCCAGCCCTGAGTGCAGGGGGCAGCTGATGGGATCGGTTTGTAAGAACCCAAAATCCGGCTGCCGGGAGCGAAGCGCGCGCCGGCGCGTCTCGGCCGCTGAGCAGACAGCCGGAGAGACGGGGTTGTTGGGGGGGGGGAGGAAGGAGCAAGCAAGCCCGTCAGTTCCTTCTGATGTCTTTGCTAAAAATCCCAGCTACAAAGAGATCTAATTGCAAATGAACTAATTAAGTAAACCTCTGACGAAGCGTGAAAACAATTTGTTTGACCCTGACGCTAGCAGAGGGCTCCTCGACAGCGGAGTTAATCAGTCAGCGCCGGAGCCCACAAGCAGTGTCAGCGGGGCTGCCGCGCCGCCATCTGCTTCCTCCCCTCCTCTCACCCCCCAGGAGGGGAGCTGCAAAATCCCCTCTCCTGCTGCCTGCCTGCTGCACTGGGTCTCTTCTCCTCTAGGAGCAACCTCTGGTGTTTTCTCCTTTCGCATGTGGACCCCCAGTTCAGACAGACTTTGGGGTCTCTGGACCTATTTTCAGGGTGTCTCCGCTCCCCATGCTGTCCCAGCTCTCCCTTCCTCCAGGAAAATCTTCCTCAAAAAGGGGAGCAACTTACTTGACAAACTGTCCCAAGTCCTCACAGAGGGTTTCGCAGCCAGGCCACTTGCACTCTCCGTGGCCGTAGAGTGGGTGGGAGCCGGGGGTCTCTTCATGGGAAGAGCTACAGAAGACAGAAAGGGACTGTCAGATGGGGCAGCCACAATGCTCCATTGTTCCCATGCACAGCCCTCGGGGACCCACTGAAGAACCTTCAGCAATGGCTCCCTGTCTTCCATGGACACAGCAGAACAGCAATAGGACTTGTTTATGGGGTGGGCAGAAACCCCCCAGACCTTCCAAGCCCTCCCAACACTGTTGCCAGCCCCATGGGTGACAGATCCCAGCCCCTTCCACCTCTCCAGGGGTAAAAACACAAAGCACTAGGGCCCAACCCAGCTCTACCTGTCCCTTCTCGGCGTGTGCATGGTGCTCTGTCCATTGGGCAGAGGGTGATGGGAAATGGGAGGCGAGACCTTGGCGGCTGAAAACGAGGTAGAGTTGGAGGTGTTGGTGGTGAGGTCGAGACCTTCTTGCTTAATGCTGTCCTCGACGGGCTGGGCGGCCGTGACCTCCTTCCAGAGTTGTTGGAGGTCCGAGGGACACACAGCTACAGAGTGGGGAGAAAGTGCTCACTGTCAGTGGAGAGAAGGTGCAGCACCCACTGGCACTCATGCACCAGGCTGGCTCAGGACCCCCAGGCTCCCTCCCTGCCCAGCCAGCGCAGCCAAAGCTCAGGAACTCCAGCACAGACTGTGCACTGGGAAAACATCACCTGAGGCTGAGTGCAGCCCTCTGTACTGGCAGCTGGGGGAAAGGCTGCAAACCCCCATCACAGAGTCCAAAACCAGCTGCCTGCAGAGCTGCACCCAGAGGGGAGGAGACCCAACCCTGCACACACCCCAGCTCATACTCTCCTGGGCTACTCCAGCCATCAGCACAATCAGGCCCCAAACTTTAGATGGGCTCATCAAGAAAAGCAACACCCCAGCTGCCTCCCCAGCCCTCCCTCACCTGGAGTAGGAGAAGCTGCAGCCACAGGGTCCCCCCAGTGCACCCACTGTCCCAGGCCAGGGTCCTTACCTTGGGGCAGGGTCTGCAGGGGCACAGTGCCCTGCCCTGGTGGGAGGCTCACCAGCCCCTGGCGCTGCAGGTTTAACAGGTGCTGCTGCTGGAGCTGCTGCATCTGCAGGAGCTGCTGCTGGAAGGCCAGCTGCTTGTTCCCTAACGGCTGCCAGGAGACAAAAGGGAGAAATCAAAGCGGGTTATTTCCAGCCTCGCAGCAGAAGCCTGGCAGGGGAGGCAGGGGCCCAGCGGCGAGCGATGCCGGGGGCGGTGGTACCGTGTGCGCCCCGTCCTGCTGCTCCTGCTGCCCGGCCCCTGCGCCGGACCGAGGCTTTGATCTGTCGGAAGAGGAGGGGAAGAAAAGGAAAGGGGAAGGGAAAAATAAAGCACTGGAGAAAGAGAGGGAGCGGGCAGAGCAGGGGGCTTGCTCAGAGCAGAGACCTGGCTCTGCCTGCGAGGTGGGTGAACCTGCAAAGCTGAGCTGTGGGGTCCCGTCACTGAAGGATAAGGGGCTCCCAGCACCCAAAATGCATCCTAAGACTGATCAGAAGCATAACACCATCTTTTTAAGGACACAGTCCCTGTTTGCAAAAAAAATGACAAATAGAAGCCCTTTCTTAGTGGGGGGCAAAACCAACCATCTGCAGGGGAGCAGGTCCCCAGAGTTCCTCGCCCAGCAGCACCAGTGCCCCCACCCCAACCACAAGCATCCCCCGGGTAGGTGACTCTCCTACCCACCCCCAGAAGCTGGCCGTGCTCTGACAGGGCATAGCCAGCTCTAAACTAGTTAGGCAGGACAGGTCCCTGGGGAGGCACCAAAAAATCCATGAGAATTAACTGAAGGGAAGAGAATTCAATTAGGGATGGGGACAGGCAGCTGCTAATCCGAGCCAGCCAGGAGAAGGGAGCTGCCCTGGGCCTGCCTGGCCTCATTAGCAGGGCAGGCATCTCCATAACCCCTTGAACCCCTCTGTTTGCACAGACGTTGTTTGCAGGTTGCAAGGGGCCAGGCTGGCAGGCAGTGAGTGGGCTGTGCTGGCCAGACCAGCCCCAGCAGCAGCCTGGCCCCTTCCTTATTCCCAGCAAGAAAAGTGCCGGGGTCCCTCTCAGCAGATCAAGCCTCTGCCTTGGCAGAACACATCAGCCAAGCTTGTGCTCACTGCACTCATGAGTGGGGGAACTCTGCTGCCCCACTGCTTGGCCCAAAAAGAAGTATTTTCATGTCCATGTTCTTACTGATGAGCTCAATTTCAATAGGAAATGTCCTTTTATAATCTTCTGGTTGGTTCTGAGCATCACGGGGACTCAGGCACCTGAGGATTCCAGGGAACTGGCACAGCCCCACCTTGTTGTTGATGGTCCCCAAGGCTGCATCTGGCTCTCAGCTCAACAGGGAAGAGCAGACAGACTCTCCATGGCACACCCAGTTCACGGTTTAGTTTGGAATCAGCACGTGCTGCTGTAACTGAAGCAACACCCTGGGCACCGTGGGACACAAATGGGCCCTTGCAGATGCTGCAGGGTGAGGACAACCTCCAGGCACTGCCCTGCAAAATCCCTGCAGTCTGCAACATAAGCCATGACAGCAAGTCCTGTCTAGGGCACAGAGAGAATCTAAACCTGGTTTCTCAGCCTCAGAAGGATGGGCAAGATTGTCCCCTCAGAGTCAGGTCGAGATCCTCTCTGGCTCCGCCTCAGTCCTGCACCTCTGATGTTTGACTATTAAGACACAAATCAAAGCAATTTCTGCTCAGTGAAGAGCAATCCCTGCGCTCGCCCTTGCTCCCAAGGAAGGTGCTGAGCCAGGAGGGCTTTAGGCCATGGGGCTGGAGGACACCATGGACCATGATGGAGGAAAACAGGCAGGATGGACACACATGTCCTTGTCTTGGTTAGAAACGGCAGCTCAGATGGGATGGGAGGAGGGGATGGGATGGGAGGAGGGGATGGGATGGGCTTCTCCTCCTCTTCCCGTCTCCGCCAACGCCCTCCCCGGAGGCCCCGGGGCAAGCCCGGGCTCCTGTGAACACAGCCTCATTCATGGCACTTCCAGGCTGTGGAGCAGGAGGAAATAGGGAGCAGATGAAGTCATAAGGATCCCTAGGGCACATGGCCTGTGCCTCACAGCCCAGCTGGGCTCTCCTGACCCGGCCTCACTGGAGCTGCAGCTGGTGGAGTCCGACCCTCCCAGCTCCCCATGTGTGGTTCTGACGATGCTGACCAGGTGGAACCTGCACCTTCACATGCTTCAAATCCACATGCGCATCCTTCCAACTTCACCAGACCATGAACACAAAGACCAACCTCAGGAATATGAGTCCTGGTGCCCAGTGGATGCAAAAAGGCCTGAGCTAAGCCAAAACAAAGATCGAATTCTCTCCAGGGAAGCAAATTTACTAGTCCCTAGAGAGTACACACTGCACTGCAGAACCAACAAACTGTACAGGCTCAAAACCACTGAATGGGATGTGTGAAGAGGTGCAGCACCCACATGCAGACCCACCCAAGAGCACCCATGAGTCTGGGTGCTCTGAGACAAGAGCTTGCCCGGGAGAAGGCAGGGCAGTGAGAGCCTGAATTTCAGCCCCAGTTATATTAAAAACCTCTCATCCAGCCATCACCCCATGTGCGGCTGCTCAGCCCTTGGCAAACGCCAGCCTGGCAAACACCAGCTGAGTCCCTCCCAGGGAGGGCCCCCCAGAGGAGCTTGATCTGTGTCAGGGATCCTGCGTTTGGCTCCCACATCCCCCATCCCAGTCCCACCTCCCGTCCCAGCACAGGGGCTCGGGGTCCGGAGCTTCGCCTGCACTCAGCGTACATTAGACGCAGATGACTGGGTGCAGCTACCGGGGTAAGAGCCGCCGTCACTTTGATTTATGAGCACATCAGGAGGAGTTTCGGCGTGACACGGGGGACTGACAGGAGCAGTTCATTAAGCTGACACCGAGGTTAGGCAGCAGGCAGCCCCCCCCAGCATCATTCCCACCCCCCTGCCCCGCCAGACTCAGGAAAGGGACAAATCCTCTGTCCCCGCCAGCTTTGGGTGCACACAGAGATCCACAGGCCTCATCCCCAGAGGATATTGGGGTCTCTGCACCCAGATGCCACTTGCAGCAGCTGTGCTTGGAATGGCAAAGTGGCCAGGGACAGGGCCCCGTGCCACAGCTCCTTGCTCCCCCTACACCTCCTCACTCCCCCTATGCCCAGGATGCTGCTGGGGGCTGGAGGTTTGCCCTTGAACCCTAGTGCAGGAAAATGCCCAGCAGGATGCATGGATCAGCTGCCTTGCTCAGCCCCTTCCTCACAGTCCCCTCCGCAGCGCAGCTCCCAGCAGACGGTGGCCCCAGAGCCCCCCCCGCATCCTCTGGCACAGGATGCTGCCGCCAGGCGCTTCCGATGCATTTCCATCCTCCGACACATTTCCATCCTGCAACACATTTCCATCCTCCACGCTCCCTCTTTTCCTGCTTTCCCCTTCCCCGCGCCCGCCGGGGGACCTCCAGCCATGCTGGTCCTCCTGGGGAGATCTGAGCTGCTCCTCCAGGAGACGCCGCTACCTGCTCCCGGCGCGGCGGTGGCGGCACAAAGCCATTCCCACCTGCTGATCCCCCTCCGCGCTCGCAGCCGAAGCTGCTGACTTACAATTACACCGAGGCGAGTCCTTGAAATCAAGCGGAGGGAAAGCAGTAGGCGCTGGGTTTACAAACCCTTGCAGCGGGGCCGTGATTAAATACCGCCGCGGATTTCCATGAAGGAGCCGAACGCCAGCCAAGAGCGGCTCCGCGGCGGCATCCCAGACACGCCAGCTATTCCCTGCGCCGTCGGGGGAAACCAACGGCATCGCCGTTCCCGGCAGGCACACGCTGCTGCCCGACGCAGGCTTTATTAATAGCAGCCGCCCAAATTCACGGGCTGGAGCCAACTCCACAAAGCCCAACTGGGTGTTTTTTGGGAGGGGAAAAGCTACGACATCCACTCGTGGGGACCCTCTCGCTGTTTTTCCTGGCTGTGGGATGGCAATGCCACCAGGAGCTGGACTTGTACCCCTTCAGCAGCATCTAATGCCCCTTCCCCCTCTCCACCAGCCACTCAAGACTTTCGCAGTGGATGAATTTCTCTTCTCTGTACCATTTAATTAAAAGTTAACATGAGCTTTTAAAACCAGGAGCCCGCTAAGCAAGCCCTTTGTTAGAGCTTAATTACATCCCCACTCATTGCTGCAATATAACATCGTCACAGCCAAGAGGAAAGTCCTTGAGGAAGCTCAGATTTATGCCTCCCCCGTTCCTGGAGCACAAGCAGCTACTCCAGCTCCTGGAGATGGCTCCGATAAAGCCTGACCCCGCACACGCTGTGTAAATACACCAACCTCCCGCAGTGAGAGCCTGGGTCAGAGTCTGTGGAAGGCTGGAGTGGGTGCTGGCCTGACCCCGAAACGCTTGGGCCGCCCCTACTCCCCCAGGACCAGCACGTGCTTTGCCCCTGAGCCCCCGCTGCAGCCCCCAAACGCGCAGTCAGGGCTTCAATGCTCCCTTCCTCAAAAAAACAAGATGAATTTTTATGTGCTGAGAATTGGTGAATGTCAGTCAGGGTGCTGGATCTCAGGGTGACTGCAACGACCCACCCTGGCACCCTGTTCCCCTGCTTGCTACTGATGCTGGGCTGGGGACAGGAGTGAGCAGCTCAGCTTCATGTCCCTCTGTGCCTGGAGCCCAAAGAAAGCTACCTCATAGTGATGCCAGACACACAGCAGCATGCACGATGCAAAATACCCCCAGGCAAGTACCACATGCACCCAATCTAGGAAGAGAGAGGGGAAAAATATCTAAAGAGAAGGAAGGGAGCAGTGCTGCCTGCCCACTACCAGCTGGGGACAACCCCCAGCCTCTGTGCCACCCGCACGTCCCCAAAACCAAGCACTGCTGATAGAGCCACAAAGCCTGGGAGCACGTTACTATGGGAAAGGACAGCAAAAGCTGTTGGTAAAGGGAGTTATAAAAGATTGATGCAGTCACCCCAGCATAAAGACTTCTCTGCCGTGCAACTCCCTCCTCAGGAAAGGACCCACCACAGCTGACCCAGCCAGGAGGGGATGACAGCACCTCCTGCCTGAGCATCCCCTGTCAGAAAAGCCCTTTGCTGGCACCTCTGCTACAGCACACAGTGCTTGGGTTTTGCAGGATGGCCTTTCCTGGCAGGAAAAGACTTGGCTTGGGTTCCCATCTGCTTTGCCAGGTTGTTGCTGTGCCTGCTCAATTGGAACAGGACTGGGCTGCCCAACCCAAGCCAGGCAAGGGCGGAGCCAAGCCTCCTCTGCCCCACACCATGAGGATTATTTGGGGAGTCCTTGCCCCCTGCCAGGGAGGGTCTGGGGGTCTGGTGGCTCTGCAAGAGCTGCCAGCCCACACCCGCTAACTTCACCATCCCATAGTTTCCAGATGTGCTGACATGGCACTAAAAACAATGCAGCTCAGTGCACGTCACAGATCACAGATAGGGAGAAGAAGGAACTCCCAGCACCTGGATTGGCCACCCTGGAACCCCCCAGGAGCAGGATGCCCCTGTGTCCTATCCCTGCTGGCTCCCAGCCAGCTGCCCTGGGAGCTGAGACTCACACACACCCTGTTTTGTGTTGGTCCCCCTTTTATTTGCTGCCAGATCTGATGACCCAGAACCCATCTGTGTGAGCTCACCTCTTTGGGTTGCTGCTTTCCGGCTTGCTGCTGTGTCAATAGCTGCAGGTGAAGCTGCTCCTGTTGCTTCTTGTAGTATTCCTGCAACTGGGAGGGAGAGAGGGACGGGAGGGGAGAGAGCAGCCCAGATTAGCAGTAGAAACACCCTGTTCACATCTCCCTGCCTAGCACTGCCCTGTTGCCAGTACCAGGCTGTGCCACAGCCATGCCAGCTCCTGGCATCATGCCATCAGGGCAGGCTCCTGGCTGCAAGTTAAAAAGCAAATCAGCCAGTGAAGGAGTCACGGCTGCAGGAGAACCCCTGGCCACACACTCTTGAAGGGTTCTGGGTACCCACAGCCAGTAAAATCCCCAACAACCCCAACGCCAAACTTGCCAATGGTTTTCATGCCAAAGGGTTGCCCTGGATTTCTGACACTGGCCAGTCCGGGAGCCTCCACCTTGCCCAGCCCCCAGGGAGGAGGGTCACAACCCCCAGCTCAGTAATTCCTCTGTAACCTGGGGATTTTCCAGCTGTGCTGGGGGAATTTTGTTGGGTATGAAACACCAGGAGATGGGTGAGGTAACGCAGTGTTTCAGCAGGGGAGAAACCCCCTTTTTGGCAAGGTGGGACTCCAAAACACCCCTGGCAAGTGCTGCAAGAGGTGAAGGTCTCAGACCTGCATCCCCCTTCATGGGCACCACTGGAAAGTGCAGGCAAGCCCCCACCTCACTTCACCCCAGTCAAAACTGAGGGGTTTGCTGGGCCAGTAAAACAGAGAAAATAGCCCTGGCCTTGTAATGAGCCACCACAGGGGGTCCCAGTCTGCAGCAGGCAGCGCTGGGACCTGCTGGTGTTGATGCCAGCTCTCACCCTGGCCCCTACATAAACTGTTGGTGATGGATTTGCTGCAGGAAGGGGGGAGCAGAGGCACAGGGAGGTCAGCAAGACCTGGCAGCCCCCTCCCACCCAGCCTGTACCACTGCACTGGGGCGACGGCGGCGGCTCAGGAATGCCCCTTTGGATGCTGGGAAGCCTTTATCAGCTCAGGGCTGACAGCGCTGACAGCAGCAACTTCGCTTTTTCTGTCGGCGAACAGGTTTGGAAAGCCTGGGTGTTTACCCGAAAGCCAATCAAAGCCAGGTCTCTGCAACATGGTCGAGCGAGGCTGCGGGAACATTGGGTCAGGGGTGAGAGGTGTGATGTTTGGTTTTCTTCTGGTGGAGAATGTGAGCTATTCCGGCCTGGGTTGTTTAATTTGCAGTCAAACGTGTTTCTTTATCCGGCTCCAAAGAGGCTCTGAGAAGGACCCACCCAGGGTAGTGTTTACCCTTTGTTCTTTCCCTGGGGCCAACCTTGAATCCTTATCAGCCTGTTTGGAGTAAACAGGTACTGGAGGCAGGAGGAAGGGTGTGGAGGATGCTTGTGGGATTTCTCCTTCTCTCCCTCCCGCTGTCAGGAGGTGTTTACCCAAGCAGACCTGTTTTGTTTCGGAGTTGAGGTTTGTTTTTTCACTTCTCCTCCTTTTTCTTCCCTCCCCGTTCATTTTCCCTGTGACAGAGCACTCCGGAAAAAGCTGAGTGGGGCTGTGAGAAACAAACCCACACACTCAGGTCTGGACCCAGACCCAGGCACGTGCCTCAAAGCCCAGGCAACGGTCACAGGGGCTCTGCTCGGGGTCTGTGGAGCCCAGAGCGTCCCCCCAGACCTCCCAGGGGCTAGGCAGCCCCAAACCAGCCCTCGTGTGGGAACTTTCCAGGCTTTGAGACCCTGACTCTGGGCAGCAGCATCTGGCTTTGCAGCACAAATAGCACCTGTAGCTCTTTTCTTCCCTTGGTGCTGGACATTATGGGAATCCCCAAGGAATAATAGGATGCAGAAGCCCAAGGAGGAACAGACCCATCTGACTGCCTCCAGCAAATTCCAGCATTCCTGGACACCAGTGAGGAATCCCTTGGCACAGCAGTGTTACCTGTTGCAGCATTATTGCCTGCTGCTGCTGCAGGAGGGCCTGGAGCTGGGGAGGTGAGAGGATCTGCTGCATCTGCTGTGGTGTGATCATCTGTGGGGACATCATGGCCACAGACACAGGGACCTGTGGGGAGGAACAACACGTCACCATTCCCAGTTCCAACCCTGGAAAACCCTCCCCAGACACCAACAACCTGCAAGTGCCTCCAACCCCACAGGCTCTCCTGGGGCATCCTCCATGCCTCCCATCCCTGTGTCACCCTCAGGTGAATCCCTTGGCCATCACTCTGTTCTACCAGTCCAAGGCCAGCACGGGAGACATAGTGATGGCAGGGAGATGCCCCACGGTGCAGCTGGCACCTGGGCAAACCTTCCTAAACCATGAGTTCCCTCCATCCTGAGGGCAGGATGCTCTTTGCCCACAGGGTCATCTTTAAATGCCATTTAGGGAACAAGAGGAGCCAGCAGCACATGGGCAGCCAGCTCCAAACCACAGCTCCCTCCCCTCCTGCAAGCACAGGAGAGGTGCTGGGCACTGCTCCTTCCCTCAGGGTCCCAGAGGATACAGGGAGGAGGGAACCACCAAGGGAAACGGGGAAGATACTGATCACTCAAATAACTGAGCAAAGCAGAGCACAGAGGAAGAGGTTACCAGGTTTCCATAGACACATCAAAGCTTTACCTCCAGTTGACACCAGTAACTCACTTAATTACCACGCCAAGTGGAGGGAGGGCTAAGAAAACCTGCCAACCTTTGGTTATCATACCATTGGGTTCACACCCCCACAGCAAAGCACCAGAGAAGGTGTCAGTGATGGATCCCAGACCCACCAGTCCTGCCCAGGTGGAGCAACACTGCCTTCCCAACCATGGGCACCAAGGGCTGCCTGGGCCCGGCTCTCTGCCAACCCCACCAGTCCAAAGCCCTTCTTCCCAAGGCCCTGGGCAGGGTTATGGCTCTGCTGTAGTTTAATAACCCTTCCTATATGTCCCGTTTTCCTAGGAAAGCAAATGATTGCTGCTGACTGGGAGCAGCAGAGGCAGTAAGCCACTAGCAGCCTCAGGCTCTTTGAGGTGACCCCCAGGAGGAAGCAACTCCCTGGCACGTGGGATGCAGCAGAGCTCGAGCCAGGCTTCCCGTGCAAGCCCAGGACCCAGGTTTGATCTAAAGTAGATGACTTCTCATCCCCTCACTCCAGGGTCTCAGGGACCAGAAACAAAGCAACCAACTTCAAAGCACCCAGCGAAGTCCAAAGGAGAGACTGCAGTGCCCCTCATGTCTAGGACCCCCAGCAATGCCAAGACTCCCCAGTGTGAACCTGCAGCCCACCCTGGGAGCTGCCTTCCCCCTCCAGCCACCCAGCGGGACCCAGAGCAGGGCTGGGACCCCCAGGGGGACCCCAGACAGCCCATGGGGGGCGGCTGGTGGGCCTGGAGCACGCTGACCTTCAAGGGCAATTGCAAAGGCTTATCTGTTTACTCAGGCATTTTGCTGTAGGGAGGTGTCACAAATGAGTTTCATTTGTCGCTGGTGATGTCCCCCCCACCCCGGCTGCCTTCGTGTCAGAGTTACTGATTAATTGCTGCATGTTCACACCCAAGGGCTGCTGCTGGGGCTCCTGTGGCTGCACCAGGGCTCAGGAGGGTGCAGCAGCATCCCCAGCAATGAGCTTCGGGGGCTCCAGCGAACCAGGAGAGGCCCAAGCACCCCCCGTGGCACCAGCCCCTGGGAAGAGCTGCTGCTCAGGTGCTCGCAGGCAGCTGTGCAAAACCCTGCGTGAACATCTGGGATGGAGAGAAGCTTGGGAGGACGGAGAGAGGGAGAGGGAGTAGGGTGCGTGCCTGCTCACCGGGAGCTAAACATCCTGCTAATTTCCCATTGCCAATTCATCAGTTGGCAACGTGCTCAGAATGAGAGCCCCTAATTAATTGCTCATCTGCATCCCCCCCCATATCCAGGCGGCCTCCCCGCCCCCACCGCTGCCGTGGCCCCTCGTACACGTTTGCTGGCATTTTCAAATCGGAGGCATCCTAATTACCGGAGAGTTATAACACCTTCCATTTCTCGCCCAACGGACTGACACCCTGTCAAGAGCAAAGAGAATTGCCAGAGGTTTTGACAACACTAATTGCCCCTATAATCTAAAAACACAAAGGAGAGGCGATTAGTCGAGAGGGCCCCAGCTCTCGATCCGACACGAGGTTTTCACAATGTTACAAGAAAACAAAAGCGACGCTTTTTAGAGTTTGATGGCTGCTAACAAAAGCAGAATTATATTTTCATACAACCTTTGTCTGCATTAAATGGCTTTTTTTTTTTTTCCTCCCCCCTTTCCATGCTTGGATGTGGAGCTGACACAGGGAAATGGCGGCAGCTTTGCTAGGAGGTGAGGTGTGAATGGGGTCAACCAGTACTGGATCTCATGAGAGGTGTCCAGACTTCAGCACCTCCCAGAACCTGGGTGGATGAAAAAATTCCCCAAAGTGTGGCTAAGGTTTCCAGAGAGGCCAGGAACTTTTAGTAAAAGGGGAAATTCCCATATACAGCAAGTTTTGCTCCAGCTGCAGCCATTCACCATGTGCAGCACTGTCAGCTCGACCCCAGAGTGGGACAGCAAAGCACCCCAGGCTCTGGTGACAACCCCAGCTGCCTGTGGGGATGGTGACAACTGCTGCCCTGGCAAAACGAGATGGGGATGGGAAGATGCACCCCCAGCTGGGCTGAGAGCCCCGTGGGGGCACCCGCTGGCAGCTGATGTGCTAACAGGGAGGGGATAGCATGGTGCAGCCTGGCAGGACACAGAGGAGCACAGTGCAGCCCCTTCACCTGCAGTCACAGCACTTAGTGACCACCACTGTGTGACTGACCCTACAGCAGGGGACAAGGCCAGCCTGGCACCCCCAGTTAACAGGGGGGCTTTGGGTAATGGTTGCCTCAAAAGCTCAGATCCAGGCAGACACTGACACAAGCAAGAGCCAAAGGATGCTGAGCAGAGCAATGCGGGGGAGTACAAGGGGCTGGCCGTGCCCACCTGCCTCCTCCATCCACCCACTGGCAGTGAAGTCCCTCCCTGGGGACCATCCTCCCACGGCACCCAGCGAATCCCTGGGGACCATCCTCCCACGGCACCCAGCGAATCCCTGGGGAAGCAGGTCCCACCAGCCAGCCCCG